GCAGAAAATCAAAGTTACATACTGTTATAAACGAGCAGGTGAGGATGTTGCAACATCTTGATAACATCTTCTGTCGATCTTTGAAGCTTCACATCCATCTCAATCGGATCCTTAGAAGAGTATCGTTGAAAGGTACCCCACATAACCTCTAAATCGTCGTCGTTCTTGAGCTCAAACGGGGTGAACTTTACATTTCCTTCAGTGTTAACTGTAAGTGAACGATACTCAAGTTTGACCACCTTTCAATTCTCTGAATATTGCAAGAGAGAATGTAGTATGGTAATGAGCTCCATGAAATACATGTCCTGCGAGAACTTGAATTGAAGTGACGATTGCACACCACTGAAGTAGACAAAAGTAAGGTGTGGATATGTTTGTGTCATTTCTGGTTGTGATATGTGATGGAGAATGAAATGGTATGTATGGAAGACCTAATTTATAGCCTTTTGGTGAAATTTGAACCAAAGAAATCTTATCAAGACATATTTCGAATAAGGGGTTTTCGGATACGCACATCCAAAAACACCACAATTTTTAATAAAAATAGGAGGTGAATTCGGAAGTTCATATCCAAAATAAGCCTTGTGTTGTTTTTTTTAATTGAAAGCTAATTCGGAAATGCACTTCCGAATTATGCAGAACCAGAAACAACAACATTATTTGTACCAAAGTGACATGAAATAATAAACGACATTATAGATAATATGTTATATATGTATTAAAACGTATAGATTTTACAATGTATACGATAATACATTCAAAAAATGGTTCGTTTACATTCTAAAAAGCACCAAATTAATTGTCATCGCTTAAATCTAAAACCGGTTTTATCTTCGACTTCTCTGTATTTGATTCTCTCTCAAGCTCCATTAAATTGGTGAACTCTACCATCCTATTCAAAAACTGATTCGGCCAAGTTTCCACTTCTTTTGCATGATCTGTCGTCCATTGTACGGATGTAGCCGATATAGGACAACCCGATTTCAAATAAACCTGAACAAAATGGCGTGATCTAAGGTACCCAATAAACATGATGCAAACGAATCGATATTTAGGCAGGGGAGCCCAAAGAGGAAAAAATGTTTCTGAAAAACCATACATCGGCAAGTCGATACACACCCTCTCATATGCACTTGCTATAAGATGACCAATTTCAGGAAAGCTCTTTCACTTTTCAACGGGTGCACGAACGCTAACACTTGGAGCAAGAGCATGATGAACTTTATTAAATGCTTTTGTAGTCACATATAGGCAAGTGTAGAGTTCCATATGTGCCGTCAACTCAGAAATAAGTGTTTGGCGCACAAGAGTGTGATTCTTCTCTCTCTTAACAAGTAAGTCGGACACGGCCCGATACCCGCAATTACCATCACTCTCCACATCCATGATTCATTCAATGTGTTTGTGCATGAAAAGAGGCATTTCATCAATGTAGATAACCGATGGTGGTTGTGGTTGTTTTATAATAGGCGGTGTACAAGGTGGTTTAGAAATGCGAGCTCCCTTGTTATCACTTGTTTTAGATTTTGGGGTTGAAGAATCTGGGAATATTGAATCAACAACTTCATGATAAGAAGGTGTCTGCTTTATTAAACCGTCACTTTTTGTATTTTCCGCCTTTTTCGGTGCACCTTTGGTTTTTACCGGTTGCGATGGAGGTTTCAAATCAGTGGTTTTTGAAAAGGAGGTTTTTCTCAAAAGTTCTTTGATTTTCAATTTCATAGAGTCTTCTGCTTTAGAAAACCTATCCATTATCACTTCCAACTCGGTTGTGATGGTTATGTTTGATGTACCTTTCTTTGTTGGCTCGTAGTCATCGAATCAAAGTCTTTTCCAATTAGTGCAAACCTCCTCCATACGTATGAGGGAATTGAGCTTAATTTTTTAGAAATAACACAATCACATGGAAGCCCATAAGTCATCATCTACACCCACACTTCAAACTATTTGGCCCTGTCGTTTCTGATTGCCTCGCTTCATGATAGATGAAATTCAATCTTGTTCGGGATATGTTGTACACCAGTTGTACGTATAGAGTGTTGTCTTTGAATCGGTGTTCTAATACAGTTTTTCTCCTACCAAAAGTTGTTTGAATTTCATTATGCTAGTTTTGGAGCATTTGGTTCACCGTGTCCCATTCTCTACAAAGGTCACCCTTGCTATCATCCAACCACTTCTTCAACGTGGCATGTGCAAATTCCACTCTATTAGTTGTTGTGTTATCCAAATGTCTAACCCAGTATGTCCAAGCACATACAACTTTCTCTTTCACCTGATCAAGGATAGTAGACTTATTGTATTTCAAGAAATTAGGATATTCGACACACAAGTTTTTGAGGTGTACCACATTCTTAGTATATAACTCTTCTGTAGTAGAATTAAGAATAACAATCCATGCACCCATTATCTTCCTAACCACAACACCAGATTTGATCATGTTTCCGTCTTCACCCTTTTTTTCTTTGGTGCCAACTGCGGGTTTGAGTCGTGCTCTCACATTTTTTTATATGATATTGACAAAGTAATGCGGTTGACGAAGGAAACAAAGTGCCAACCGCATTTATAAGGGCATTATCTCGGCTGTAACAATGACCTTAGGCATATTTTGTGGATCCTTCAATAAAGTCTTGCATAAACCCAACAAGTGACATTGTCTTCTTTCTCACATTCCAAAAAACCAAATCCAACCGAAAATGTTTTGTCCATAGAGGTGACACTGACAGTTTCTAGAAGCGGAAGCTTGTACTTGTAGATCTTGCACGTCGAAAAATCATAAGGACGGTTAGAAATGTATTGAACAAATTGATACTTTCTGGATGAGTCCAAAAAATGTCACGAATACTGACGTTGTCCTCACAAACTCTGTCTTGGAAATGTAGTGGTTATTGTCCAAACATTTCCATAAATGTTGCATTTCGTACCTCTAACCTCTTTGTGCAATGTGTTGTTTATAACGATGATTGTAAATCGACTTGATATTTAAAAAAAAAATCGGTTTATTCCATTTCAAACTGGCAAGTATGTTTTTCAGCATAACTTTGATCAACGACAATTCTAAAATAGATTCCTTCTCTATTGTCTTAAGCCGACATACAATTGGATGCTCATGTAGCTTAGTTTCTAACACATGATTATGCATACCAGACATGATATTATACTGCCATAAACCATCTATCCTACAATAACTGTGCAATTTAAACGGGCACTCACATTTCCTCGATCCCGTGTCATCATGTTTTATCTTCCGAATTTTTGTTACATATTTTCCACTTCACTCACATGTCATCACAATAAATGATTGTTTTTGACTAGTCCCATTGTCGGACCTTTCAGTCACAATACCAAACCCAAGTTTGCTAGCTTCTATTAGAACCCATTCAAGCAATATGTTAAAGAGAGGTGAAACTTTTATCATTTTGAAAGTGTTGTCCATAATCTATCACAATATTATTCATTTTAACAACGTCCTTCACCTTGTCCGAAACCTTTACGACAGCTTTGACAATGTTATCGGGGTGCATCATACCTAACATGTTAAAAAAAACACGAATTCTGTTAAAATAAAATTCTGGTATTATAACAGATATTTTTCGGATATGCACATCCGAATTATGGTAGGTTGAATTTGAAAGTACATATCCGAAGCGACGATGTTTTCTTCCTCAACAAATCAGCTTCAATGTAGAAAATGTATGATGAAATAATGAAAGTTTATCTCAAATTACAGTTTTCTATGCTCTCTTTGCTATACTCAAACACTTGAAACTTGATTTGGAGACGAAGATTCTATTGAAAATGATTGAAGCTTTGTTGAGGGTTTTGGTTATGGAAGAAAAGAAAATGAATGAAATAGTTAGAATAGGTGACTGTACAGCATTCTAATATGAGAAATGATGGTTTCGAATATGCACATCTGAAACATACTAATAGGTGCAAATATGCACGTTCGGATGTGTATATCCGAAGAATATTTTCGAATTTTCAGTGGTGAAAATCACCACTACTAGATGTAAAGAGAAAATCTCAATTATTAAATCACAATAATTCATTAAACACTGAAATGAAAATAACTTAACCAACCACTAAATGTCAAATTACTTTTTAAGACAAAAAGTAAAACATACCTATGGAATTCAGAGGGAGCACCTGAAATCATGGGGTCTCTTCTCAAGCATTGGTGCAAAACTAGTGTGAATTGAAAATTGAATTCCTGGCCTAATTTTAAAGGCCTTTTAGAAAGTAAGTTATCATTTATATTGTGTGTGTACAACTAATAATAGAACTCTTCAGATTAAATAATGCACGCCCTACTTTAACACTAATCAAGTGAACATAAAAAAGCAACTTCAAAATCAAAACTAGCTAACCCTTTGGACTATGATGAATCATGTTCCAGGTTTCTTGTTTTTTTCCTTTAGTTTATGCACTTTCCTTTTCTCAAAGAAATTGGTGTTTGCCTTTTAAAAGGTTAAACCATGTTCATATTAAACCCTTTATCTCTTTAAACATGACACATTAATAGTCAAAGATCATTGTAAATTGTAATGGTGACAAAATAAGCAGCTATGGCAACTATGTTTTTTTTTTCTTGCCCTTAGTCTGAAGAAAGAGACATTAGAGTTAGTTTTATAAGGTATTGTTTATCTGTTCTTTATGAGACTCAATTGTTTATAGTTCAAGAAGTTGGTACTTGGAAGTATAAGTCTAAAATAATTGAAACTTGGGTAGAAGAAAGTGAACCAAGAATGTATATTATATGTCTACTTGTCATTGTGCTCATAGGCTAATTTGTACAAATAATGCAATACCTTTTGAATGGAAATGGTTGATTTCATACTAAAGAATAGGTAAGCCATCAAACTCCGCTAAATCCACAAATGAAATGAAATAATAATAATAATAACAATACACTTTGGGGAAACTTTGATATGGACCATCATTTTTAAGTGGTCCATGATGAATTATTTTGTCATGGTTAAACTTTTGTTCTACCAAATCTAATGACCTACCTTGTGCAACAAGCTATATCTCCTCTCTTCTTCCAACTTTTCCTATGTCGAGCCTCCTCGTGGGTCACCCTAGTGAGCCTAGAGCCTCCTCGTGGTCGCCCTGGTGAGGCTACAGCCAGAGTTTTGCACTTGCTCGACGCGAGTGGGTCACACTTCTTGCTCGAGCTTCGCAATGAGGATGCAATTGTCCTCTTGACAATCTCTTTTTCCTATGTCAAGCCTCCTCGTTGTCGCCCTGGTGAGGCTGCAGCTAGAGTTTTGCACTTTTGCGGCATGTGGGTCACACATCTCCTTGCTCGAGATTCGCAATAAAGATGTAATTGTCCTCTTGTCAAACTCTTTTTCTTATGTCAAGCCTCCTTGTGGTCGCCCTAGTGAGGCTGCAGCCAGAGTTTAGTAGTTGTGAAACATGATTTTTTGTGGTTAGTGGCCTCATTATCATTTGCCTAAACTCTACTACATACATGATTGTCACACCTATGACATATCGTGGATTTTATATGTGAAGTGGCAAAAGGTAATTCTTATTGAGGTGAATAGGCCATTCTACATTTGGGGGGTATGATTTTACAGATTTTGTCCCAAAGGTGCTATTGAGGAATTACTTGGGTAACCATGCAAAAGCCATTTCTATTTACACTGATGATTTCACAAGAGTACAACATATTGCCTTAATTTAGACAGTGATTGATGAACAAGAATAATTTTTTTGCACATATTGATAGAAGGAGAAGGGAGTGCATTTATTGAGCCTCATCTAGAAGAGTACAGTTGCAGTTACATCTAGCACATGGCCTGTTCTTTATGGCACTAGATTTTAGCATATAGTATATAAATACGGAAATTAATAATAGAGTGCAGGTGTAGGGAAGCTTTTACCACAAAAGAGAATTCATGAATCTTGTACTATTAATTTCCAATCCTTCACATGCTTTAATTATTACTCCATTGCTCCAAACATAGTAAGGAAGCAAAATGCTAAAGGTGGCCTAAAATATTTAAAGACATGAATATCTATGTACCTCCTTTTTCTTTGATTTGTATATTCAAGAACTTTCTAAGATTTGTGCACTTGGTTAATTAACTGTTTTATTTGCAAAAGGTTGCAGAAGATACCAAAGTGTATTGGTACCTTGCCCTTGTTAACTGTTATTGCTCTTACATATGTATAGTTTAAGACATGAATGACTACTACATGATTAAATCTGCAATAATTTACAAACGTAGGAGTATTAATTAGGGACCAAATCAGGTGTCATTATATTTCTCCTTTGTTCGCTTACCTTGTTTAAGAAAGCCAAGGAAACGATCTCTCAAACATCGCTAAGAATAATACAGAAAGATTATGACCTATACAGTAAGATTCAATCATCGCAAAGCGTACATGACCAAATTTTTCCTCGGACACATACACACCGGAACTATAGACAACTTATTGACTAGGATTTACAAATGAAAGGAAAAATGCCATATAACCTTACTGCAGAAATGTAAAAAGGGGAAAGTTTTCTTACAAACAAGTGAGGGATTTGTAGGGAATGTCTTGCAATTCAACTTAGCATGGGCATGGGAAGAAAAAACACTCATGGATTGCCACTCTTCACCTTGATCTCCATAAGTTCCTCAATGGGCTGACGGCATATAGGGCATTTATTGGATTGAAGTCGCAGAGCTTTCGCACAATCACTGCACATACACTTTAAAGTACAACAGATGTAATGTGAGAAAAATTGCAATAGAAAATGAATACAAGTAAAATAAAATAGAGACACGGTCATCACATATCAACTATATGTAATGAGAGGACATGAAACCATACCATATGTCGACAAGGTAAGACAGCTGTATCCTTTGGTTCAGTCATGCATATTACACACTCCTTCCCAGGATCACTGTCATCAAATCCTGCAGCTTCTGAGTTTCCTATTCCATATAGCTCTCTCAACTCATAGCGAACACCGTCAATCCACAGAATCTGTTTAACTACTTTTATCTGGAAAGCACCATTGCGTTTCTCCAAGACGGCTTGAGTTATTTGCATGTGAGGGGATGCATTTAGCATGGAATCATCAGGAGTTTTAGGAGTTTCGTTTTCCGAGGGAGTTTCCAAACAAGTTTCGGCGCATATTACAAGAGGAAAGACATCTTCCCCAGGTGAAGGCTTTGAAAGATCATCCAACTCAAAGAAGCCCAGGTCAATCCCTGTTCCTGAAGGCTGGGAAAATTTCTGGCCAACTCCTTTCTCAAAGGGGACTTTGACTGGCACAAATGCATCAGGAAAGAGTGGAACAAACCTACATTTATCTTCTTCCTTCGCAAAGTAAGAGACAGTAATGCTGTAAATTTCAAATACAAAGAGTAAAGAAGTTAAGAGAAGCAAAAACTTTCCACATTCCATTATACAATTACATTTACTCCATCTTCGAATGGTCTCATTTTAGTACAGTCATTTCATAACAATTAGTCAATCAAACTAATCACAAGTTCAAGCCATAATTTGTGGTTTCATTCTGTTCTTTTGTTAGTACTTGGATGTAAGCTTACAAGTAACATGAAACGGCTCATAGTCTGCTTATGGCCAGAACATAGGCGAAACTGATTTGAGAGCACAAGAAGTTGTTATAGTGAATATTGCTGTGACAAGTTCTTTACATAAATGATGCATACCTAACTAAAATACGTATTTTACACGTTTCAAGTTCCTTCAACCAATAATTCTAACATGAGTAGATTTTTTCTATAAGACTTAATAGCCTACGAAGCAGAAAAATTCTACTAAATTCACAAAAAGCAGATTAATGAAGATAAACGCCAACCAGTTACCTCAAAGTATATCAAACATGCTTCTTGTGACTTTCAAAGAAAATGCCTCTCACTAGAAATAAAAGTTAAAACCATGTTTATAATGCATGTGATGGAAAAAGAGAAGCTTTTTGGTGCAAATAAACGTGTCTATTAGTTGGTTATTTTGTGACTTGTGAGTCTCCAAATTCCCAATATGATTCAAAATTAAAGAGTTTACTCAATCTAGAATAACAATTGGAGTTCTTGCTTATGCAATCATATATTAAAACCATAGCAACCTTCATTCAAGTTAAAAATTCTTCCAACATATGCTTGGACTATTACAAAATATCGTGAAACTCCGACGTAGGGACATTCGAAGTCGGTTAGAATTAATGCTTAGCTCACCTTTAGTAAAATAGGGAGGAAGATAAAGCCTTATCATCGGTGACTCTAGAAAAATTCAAATTCAATATGTAAATAGCACCTCGGTCCCTTAGGAGTAAGTTAGAGGGATCTGAATTCGATTATCCTACTGGTAGAAGCAAGAGCTTAGAATAAGGTTATATATTTAAAAGCATGAGCTGAGAACAATTCATATGATGGATTAGAATAGAAGTCATTCACAAAACTGATAAAACTCTAGAGTTGTGTTAAATATAATTAGAAGGAGTTACTACCTAAATAATTGAGTTTTGTGTAATCAGCCTACCACTGACTTAAAATGAAGTGAAATACGGATCTTGATCCACTGAAAAATCTTTCAAAATTTTTTTTTCGAATCAAACGTTGAAGGTCATTTGGTTTGAGAAAAATAATAGAAGTTTATTTAATTAAAGACCTAATTGAATATGTTTTTTAATGATACGTATATTTTAACAATTTTTGAAATATAAATTACCATGTCAACGAACAACATTTTGCAATCAATCCTCAACAAGGAAATTTTTTTTGAATTGACACCGAAACTTGAGAGTTGTCCTCAAATATTAGAAAAAGTTGTATGTCTTAGTGACATTTGTTTCCGAAGAGGAGCCTCCAAGTTCTGCTCCTAAGGCTGAAAGAGATATTTATAAGAAGCATGTTAATCACGCCTTAGAAACTGTCTGCATCATGCTGTCTACCATGAACTCTGAATTGCAAAAGCGGCTAAAGATGTTCTATCAAGACCAAGCTAGGCATCAGAGGTTTGAAGTTTCCAAAACCCTTTTTCAAAGAAACCTAGCCGAGGGAGCCCTTCTAAAAATGATTGAGTATGTGGAAAACCTTTACATATTGGGTTTCCCCTCGCGAAAGAGTTTGTGACTGATTTGATCCTGCAATCGTTGTCGGAGAACTTCACTCAGTTTGTCCTTAATTTTAATATGAACGAAGACACTTGTTTCTACTGTGGCCCAACAAGCAGAATAGTAAAGGAAAAGGCAAGGAAGTTGCCAAACCCAAACATATGCTTTGAAGCCTAGTAGAGGTATAACTAAGGAGGACACTTGTTTTTATTGTGGTAAAGACCGAACATTAAAAAAGAAACTACCCAAAATAAATATCTGAAAGATAAAAAGAATGGAGTAGAGACTTCAAGTTCAGACATTTTTTATATAAGAAATAAATTTATAATACCTAAACATGAATTCTCTACTCATGTGTTTATCTTTCAGGTACTTGGGGCAATTTCTCTTTCAATATTCGGTCTTTACCAACAAGTATCATTCTTAGGCTTCAAAACACGAGTCACGTGTTTGGATCTGGCAAATTTCTTGCCTTTCCCTTTCCTACTCTGGTTGATGGGCCTTTTGATCTGCTTCTTTCCATTATTGACCATGAGAATGATCTCCCGTGTTGATTTCAGACATCAATTCTCTACCTTCCTGGCAGCTCCGGAAGAGCTTTGTTCATATCATCCTTATTGAAATTAAGGACAAACGGACTGAAACTCACCGACAACAATGGCAGGATCAAATCAGTTGCAAGCTCTTTTCTGAGAGAAAATCTAATCTATCAAAGTTCTTTCACATACGCAATCATCTTGAGTAGATGAACTTGCATTGAAAAAAGACTTTGGAAACTTCAAATCTCTTATGTCTAGTTTGTCCTTGATAGAGCATCTTTAGGTGTTTGATCATTTTGAATGTTGTCATGTTCGCATGTTGCTTTTGGAATTCAGAGTTCATGTAACCAGTGTGAGGCATGCAATTTCTAAAGCATCATCAACATGTTTCTTAGAACCATCTCTTTCAGCTTTAGGAGTAGAACTTGGAGGCTCCTCTTCAGAAACAGATATCTCTCAGACATACAACTTTTTCATATGTTTAAGAACAATCCTCAAGTTTAAGTGTCAATCTAGAAGATCTATCCAATACAATTTTTCCTAGTCAATGATTAATCGCAAAATATTGTTTGAAGTGTTTGTTGACATGATAATCTACATTTCAAAAATTGTGAAGATATAAATATATTCAATAAGGTTTTTAATTAAATGCACTTCCATTATTTTACTAAAATCAAATGACCCAAATACATATCATAGAACTCCTTCCAAATGTGTCTAATACAACTCCCTAGTTTTATCAATGGGTGAATAATCCTTTATTCTAAATTCATGATATGAATCGTTCTCAACTCTTACTTTTAAACATATTTAATCTTATTATAATTAATTTAATTAAGTTATGCTTCTAAACATATATAACTCTTTATTTTAATCCTTATTATAACTAGTTTAGTCACCAAGAGCTTGGTTTGAAAAATCTACTCAGTCGGTGAAGAAACAAGGATATACCCAAGGACAAGTAGATCATACGTTATTCACAAAGTCATGTCAAAATGGGATGGGATGATAGTTCTTACCATCTACGTTGATGATATTGTTCTTACAAGTGATGATATTGCCGAAATGGAGAGATTAAAGAAAAACTGAGCAAAAGAATTTGAAATCAAGGACTTGGATTCACTCAAGTATTTTATTGGCATGGAAGTAGCAAGATCAAAGAAAGGAATTGTTCTTTCTAAGAGAAAATATGTTCTTGATCTCCTAAAAGAGACGCGCGTGAGTGGTTGTAAGTCTGCTGACACTCCTATGGACCCAAATACTAAGCTTTGGGAGAAGAGAGACACCTCAGTTGACATTAGAAGATATCAGTGGTTAGTTGGAAAGCTATTATATTTAGCTCATACTCGTCTTGAAATACTTGGAAACAACTTCAATAAAGGCTATTCTTCAAGAAGACCAATGGTAAAAACATAGCGATATTCACTGATGCAAATTGGGCAGGATCTGTTATAGATAGAAAATCAAATTCAAGATATTTCACATGTGTGAAGGAACCTAGTGATGTGGAAAAACAAAAAAAACAAGGAGAGGTTGCTAGAAGTAGTGTTCAAGCTGAGTTTAGAGCAATGGCTTAAGGGATTTGTGAAGGTATGTGGATTCTTAGAGTTTTGAAGGAATTCAAGATAGTGGTAGAATTCCCTTTGAAGTTATATTGTGACAAAAAAGCCTCTATAAGCATAGCTCACACCCTGTTCAACACGACCGGACGAAGCATATTGAAGTTGATCGCCATTTCATCAAAGAGAAGATAGACTCAAGTACTCTTTGTTTATCGTTTGTTTCCTCCAATCAATACACAACTGATATTTTAACCAAGAATTTGGCAAGGACAACTTTTAAATATTTGATCAACAAATTGGACATGATTAACATATATGCACCAACTTGAGAGTGTTGAAATATTATATATTATTTCCTTTTCTTATTAATCTAAAATTTATGTTTGCTTTATTTTTCTTATATCTCTTCTAAAATTAATGAGTTGATTAATTGTATTTTCACATATAAAAAGAGCCCTGATAGTCATAATAATATATCACAGTATTATTCTCTACATATAAGTACATAAGTTCTAAAGTAACCCTGATTTTATCTTTTATCCTACTACCTTTTGTTTTTAAATATCAACACAACAAACAACTATTATTTTGTTCTAACTAAGAGACCGATGGAGAATATTACATTCGCAGAAGCAGAAGAATAAAGGTTTTGGTGGGAGAGTCGAAAACTTTAATGTGATCTTGAACTACATCAATTCATCCAAAAGTATCAGAGAAGTATAAGTATTAATATTATTAATGTTAGAACAGAGAAGACAAAATATGGATATATTAGATTTAATCTTGTGAATGGTATCATTTCCTATTTTGCGAATTGCTCTAGAGATCTCGGGTATTATGTGTACTCTAGAAACCTCCATCCTCGGCAATATTGTTTAACCATGTACTGTTGAATAACATGGATGAAAGCAACATTAAAACACAATTTCATTAATAACATTATGTTCTCCAAAATAACTAATTTCCATCCCATCTAGATCACGTCATCGGCACATTATTAAGAGCCTCAAAGACTGACTTTTGGAAATGGCTTTGTCCGTCTTAAGGTTACTGGCATCAAAACTGTCTCTTCTCATCCATTTGGAGGTGACTAAAGATAAATACAGTTATACAGGTATATTTGCAGAGGCTTCCTGTCTGCTCTGCATACTGCATGGATGTATATAAACTTGTATACACAAAAAAGGAGTAAATGATGTTTGTTAAAGAAAATAGAACTTTTGTACTAATTATTGTGACATAGATAGTGATGTTAATGATGTTTGTACGAGACAGATTGTTGGGCCTTAAGATATAAATACGAGAGTAAATTAAGTGTAGTAAGTAGAGATGAGAATGTTATACTAAACGTCTAAAAATACTAGGAGATAGAATTAGGAATGATAGCATTAGAGTTGAGGTAGCATGTATTGAGAAAAGATGGTTGAATCTCAAAATACTTGGTTTGAGCATGTGTGGAATAGACCTAAAGATTCCGTAGTAGGGAGAGTACACCAGATGGATAATATCCCAATTGTTAGGGGCAGAGGATGACCAAGAAAAACTATTGAAGAAAGAAATTATCAAAATAGACCTAGAGTTCAATGGTTTGCATAAAGATATGACATATGATAGAGAACTATGACGCCATTTGATCCATGTAGCTAAGCTCAGCTAATTGAATAAGGCTTAGTTGTTTTAGTATTGTAATCATCATATAGATCAAAGTCCTTCTGAATTTAAGATCAAGACAGAAATCCCTAAAATACTAAGCTAGCATTCCCTTGAGGATTTCTCAAAAAAGTTCCAAGGCGAGTTTCAAATAAGCTAGAATTAGTTGGTTGTTACTAGTTATAAACACATCACTTCTTCCCCATCACAGAGTAATAATAAACTCAGTCTAAAAAGATAAACAAGCATAGTCCAAAATCCAAATTTGCAAGGGAGTTTACTTACCTGCCATCATAAACAGCATCGAAAACAAACGAAACGAGATGTTGATCAGGGTTATGCTCATCAACTTCAAGGCGCAAAGTATCTTTATGAACATTGACATGATTCCTAATCTTCTTAGCAGTCTGATGATCAACATACGGAGGCGGGGTGGATGAAGAAGGCAAAGGAGGAGGAGGAGGAGGTGGACCCCAGGCATGTTGATTCACATAGTAAGAAGGGTGGACCATAACACGAGGATTAGCGTAGTTGATGTTTGCGTTAGGGTTAGAGAAGTAAAACGAATGGGTATGAGGTTGAAGAGAAGGAGGATGATGGGGAGTGGCGTAGCCGGTGGTGGTTGAGGGATAATAGTAACCTTGTTGCTGGTGAGGTGCTGGTGGAGGTGGTGGGTGTGATTCAGTTGAGTAATAATAATGAGGTGGTGGTGGTGGTGGAAGTGAGGGTGGTTGTTGAGGTGGGTTGTGGATGAAATTGTTTCTTCTTCTACTACTGCTCCACGAAATACCCATATGAGCGTGATGAGGTTAAGAGAAAATAACAAGATGCGGTAGTGGGTGAGAAGATGCGGTGGTGGCTGAGAAATCGCGGTGCTGAAATACCCTAGTCTTTTTTTTCTTCGGTTTTTCTTTGTTTCTATGGTAAAAGCGCGTATGTATTGTATCTTGTCGTATTTTGCCTTTATTGAGTTTCCTTACACAGCAGGCTACCACTATTGCTCTGTCTTTGGGTAGTTGTCCAACTATTCAAACAAATCTCTATTTATTTATTTATTTATTACTTTTTAAATCTTATTTATCCTCTATATATATACTTTCTTATTCTATTTATAAAAATAAAAATTACATTTTAAATTCATTAAATAGATAATATATTAAATAAATAATATATTTGGTTTATATATTATTTAAATATATTAGTTATTCAATGCATTTAAAAAATTAAGACTAGAGTAGTATATCAGAAAATATTATTTATTTTTAAAAAGATAATTTTAACAAAGACTTTTTTAATTTTCATTTTAAAAACAAAGTTGTCAATTTCTTTAGTTATTTTTATAAGAAATATTATTTTTCTTAAATGTATTAAATATTAAATTTTATTTGAATGAGTAATTTATTGGTGTTATCCAGATATTGAATGAGGTTAAGTGCTTATGTGAATTCATCTTTCTGTTGAATTCTTCTATTATTGAAAGTTAGTATTGTCTTATAATTAGTTTTTTGTTGACCTTGTCAATGAAAGAAAGTTGTGTTGCATCTTCTCTATTTTCTGATTTCAAAGTGGTGACACTGTCACCATCATCCTTTGAGTAAGCATTGTTCAAACGTCTTCGGTTTATTTTGATCATCATGTTCTTTCTCTCAAGCATTTAGATTTGGCTATCCATCTTGTCAATATTATTTCTAATATATTCTAGTTGTTGTTGCATTATGTTAGTGGGGAGGCATCTCGAAATAGACATTTATCGCCTTCATCGACACACCTTCTTGATGATTATAAATGACGGTGTGTGGAGCATCCAGCGACACACCTCCTTGGTGATTATAAATGATGGTGTATGGAACATCCATCGACATTTACTTATATTTTGGGACCTTCATTATGTATGTTGGAGTTACTGTTATGATGACTTAGTTGTTTGTGCAATGGCTTCGATGTATTTGATTTCTAACTAACTTCGTGTTATTGGGATCTTGAAACCTAGGTAAATTTCAACTGACCCATAGTAAATGTTAATTTTTCTGTATAAACACAAGAGATTAATCACTTCGGTTGATGATGTAATCTATATGCATGTTGATGTGATCTCCATGTCATTTCTCATGTGCTCATTCTTCAAACAATATGAGGTGTATCTAAAAAAATATTATTTTACCAAGTTAGATATAGCTTCAATAAGTAGCAAATGAGCGAGTTAATAATCAAATGATCATACTTAAAAAATGAATTCCTTATTTATAGAGAAGTTGATATGATGATCACTTGAATTTATTCATATGTTTACTTAATAGATGAATCTTGTATTTTTTTTAATTTTTTAATAAAAAATTTAATCTAACTTAAATACGATATATGTTATGTCATATATTCAGAAAATATAAAACTACACAAAAATTTAGTATTTTTTCTATTTGATATAGATATTAATTTATTTTTTTAACTATTTGTACCATTGAAAATGTAATAAAAATGATTTCCTTTTCTCAATTTAAAAATCATATTTAAAATTAATGGAAAAAAAAAAACTATTACAGTCAAATCCAATTCAACATTTTAGAAATATTAGATATTTAAAGCTCTAAAATTATATCCATAAATAATTGTGATATCCTTTGCATTTTAAAACTTTTTATGTGATTTAAAATGTGTTTTTAAACCACGAAAATGTTTATACTCATTTTTCTTACATTACTAGTTGCAAAAGAAATATAGACTCGAGAAGCGAAATCGCACAACTCCGATCCGATTCAACCGTACCGTGTCTTCTTCAACCACCATCTATCGCCGTTCGCGCCACCGTAAACACCTGTAAACCTGATTCCGCCACTCTTCTGCAGTATTTCCTTTCCTTTCATACTTCCCGGATCTGTTTCAACTGAATAATCGATTCTATCGAATTGCCACTGTTTCCGATTGTAACACTCTCTGATTCGTTTCTTTCATCATTTTCACTGTTTTCTACCTCTATCTCACAAGTAAATAGAAATTCTCGATTCGTTTTTCAATATCTCTATCATGCATGTAGATATATTTAGGTATATTAATGTTTGAATGAAGTGACATTAAGATCTAGCGGAGCATTGATCGATGCTTCAAGCGATTTAGAAATTACTTGATTGATAATTTGAAAATGATTGTGATAATGTTTTTCGATCAGATTTGTGCATTGCCGCGTTGAACATTGGAAAATTTTGATGTAACTATTAAATTGAAATTAGTGTGTTTCTAATTAGAGGCAGTCTTACTCATGAAAATATACCGATTTTATTCGGTTTTATTTTACAGGAATTCGGTATGCCGATGAAATTGTGAAACGGTGATTTGTGCTCGAGCTTTTGAGTAATATGGCATGAGCTTCACGTTCTTCTTCTATCCTTGAAGGTTTAGCTAACATAAACAGGATAAGGATGTTTTCATTAATTTACGGACTTTGGCAGTACATGTTCAGCAAGTTAGAACTTCATGTACTCATTTTAGGGATTGACAAGGCTGGCAAAACGGTAAATCATTTTTTAATCCGGAGTTTTTTGAGAAACTACTGAGTTTTGTTATGTGGCTTTGAGTTGGAATATAATGAATAATTTTTTGTAGACTTTGCTTGAGAAGATGAAGTCTGTGTACACGAATGTAGAAGGTCTTCCTCCGGATCGAATTGTTCCAACTGTGGGATTGAATATTGGTCGAATTGAAGTGGCAAATAGAAAACTTGTGTTCTGGGACCTGGGAGGCCAGGTATCTCAGAAATAGATAGGCAATACTTATGTTTGTAAATTCTATAATTATGATATTAGGATGAATTGTTTATTTGATTTGGCAAAATTATTTTGTTCAGCGACTCTAGATTTATGAGCTGCTTGTCAGAATCATTTTATGAGCTGCTTGTCAGATTCATTTCAGTCTAGAACTTTGATAGCTAATATGTTAACATCTTCATAATTCTTGAGGTTTAATTTTGTATGCTTCTTTATAATATCAAAATGCAATTATTGAAAGAACAAGAAAAGAAAAATCTTTTCAAAACATTCCTCGGGAAAGCTACTCCACTAAACTAACTGTTTTCTGTAATGGCACTAAACTAACTGGTTTAGTGTCTGTTTTTTATTATATTTTTGGTATTTTATATTCAACATATAAGAGTGGTTACTTTATTTGTTGTTACTTATAAGAACTGCTGATTAAACTATGTAATTTGGACTGTCAATTTTTACCCTTTTTATGACTGAAGCATGAGTTTTATTGTTTCAATTTGCAATGCTGAAGAGATTTTGTAATTGAAAAATTAGTCTAATATGCATGGACAATTGATTCAGTACTTCATTTTTAACTGAGTCTAGCAGGAATATAATGTATCATTTGATGCAAATCTCATACTTAACCCTCTCTGTATACTGATCTTGCTATCATTATGTCCATTTTCATATAATAAGATGTTAATGTAATTTACTCTCAGCTTGGTCTTCGCTCAATCTGGGAGAAATATTATGAAGAGGCACACGCTGTAGTATTTGTTGTAGATGCATCTTGTCCCTCACGATTTGAAGATTCAAAGTCTGCACTTGGTTAGTTAGTGAGACTTGATTTTAGTATTTGTAAATTACTAAATATATACTTCTTTTAGGAGTTGGCTTGCAGTTGCAATAGTACTAGATATGTCGAAACTTTCAACATATCTAGTACTATTACTCAAAACCAAACAGTGCTGTGATAAGTTAATAATTGACTTGTATACCAGAAAAGGTGCTTCGACATGAGGATCTCAAAGGAGCCCCTCTATTGATTTTAGCAAACAAGCAAGTGAGTGTACCTATTCTCTTCCTGTCCTGTAAAACAAATGTTTGGTTTCCTCATTTTTTTGCTCTCTTCGGTTTGTGTATCAACACAGTGATGGCAGCATGCCTGACATTCTTGTTATTGCAGGATCTTCCTGAAGCAGTATCATCTGAAGAACTTGCCCGGTATCTAGATTTGAAGAAGCTGGACGAAAGAGTTTACATGTTTGAAGCTGTGTCAGCATATGATGGGTAAGCGAGAGAGGTTGTATAAACTTTTCTAATCTTAACCTGTGATGATCCATTTCTATTTTATTATCAACAAGGTTCAAGATATCTGATGTAAGGGAAAATTAACTTTCAATCCAAGTTAGTACATAATAAAGTGCTTACTGAATGAAGTGCTTACTGAATGGACTTTTTTCTGATGCGTATATGTTACTCGAGGGTATTAGGGTTAGTTAGTCTCCCGGTTTGTTACTATTAATAAATGGGTGGTAGGTGAAATAAGACACATTGCCTATGAACAATAAGTTGGATTGAAAAGGGCAGCTAGGCATTTGAGCGAATGGGGCTTTTGGGCATTGGGAAGGCACGTACCCTTGAAGAAGTTCTCTGTTATTGTTCTGTAATCTAGGGGATTCTTCCCTATTTCTTTATATTACAATTCCAGTTCTTATCACTTTCCTTTGAAATGTTGCAGGCTGGGGATCAGGGAAAGTGCAGAATGGCTAGTGGAAGTGATGGAGAGAAGCAAAAGGACTGAAATGTTGAGATTGCGGGCAGGTGCATTAGGTCCAGGTTCTGCCTAGAGGTTGTGACCTTAACTTAAACGGCTACTCCATTCATATATAGTTTTGTATATCCAAAGTGGAAAGTACATGATTAGAAGTCATTACGATGAAAAAGGAAACAAACAACTTAGTGTTACATTAAACTGAACCTTGAAATTTATTCATGCTTTAATTTGTAATACAGCTGTTTAAGAGGTTCAGTCTGAAGTATCTCATACAGCAAGTTTTCCTCAGACATGTCCTATATAACATAGTCAATCTGTCAAGTGTTTGAGCTGGAGGGTTTTCTACTTCCGCCTCCATGCACCCTTTTGTCGATTCAAGATTTAAATTTGCTATTTGAATAAATTTAATTTACTTTCCTTCCTGCAGCATTATATGGACATTGCACTGCCATACAGATCCAGGAAGTGATGTGACATTGTGTAAAATGCAAGTTACGAAGTATATAAACTTGGGTGTAGACTTTTGTGAAAGATTGATTTACATGTATGCTTGAGGGAAAAAAATTGCATGTAGTTTCACCCTCTATCAAAAGTAACTATAGGACAGTCTGTCTGAAAATTCATTTATTATTGGAACACCCTACGCATACATTGTCTAGGATACATGGTATTAAAAAGGTACATGAAAGTCATACATAAGCAATGGAATTAAACAAGTATTAGTATAAAGTACAAATGTTGAAAATGCCATGGCCAAAAGATACAAATTCCAACAGGTACTAATACATGATCTCAAAATACATAAGCGGAAACATCTAAAAGAACATAGATTATTAAATCCTAGTGAGTCTCCCCAACCAATGAGATAACAACACATAGTTAAACATAACAATATGCAAATTGAGACAATCCCTTAACTGTCCACTTAAGAGGGTGAAAAGCCCAAAATGCCATTGTTCATTCATTTAGTTAATTTTTATTAATGTTCTACTAAATGATGTAAGAATCATACCCTTATTCTCTAATAATCATTACCAAAATAAATTAATAATGTCATTAGTAAATATAGGTTGATTTATGTATAACTTTTTTATAGTTTTATATAATTTTAAAAGTGTAATAGAAAGAATAATTTTAGCAGAGATGTTCTCTGAAGCACATCTCATTACAGAGAGAAACACTCTCCCTCAAATGAATGTAGTCGCGTACTCTAAATATCATTTCCAACTACCTCTCTCTCTCAAGTTTTTTTTACTTTTACATCTTAATTTTTTCAATTACCTTTTCGTAGATATTGACAGGGAAATAGAATATTTTGCACGGGCTACCTTGTTGGGAAAAAGCGTAGCAGATGAATCAAACTTTAGGGTGTATCTAACTTTCTAATTCATTTGCAAAAATGCTGATAGGTTGGGAGGTAGTGATAATTTTAATGACATCTTGGATTTTAATCACCTTCCCATCAAAGTTTGACTATTTTTTTTTTTAAACAAACAAAAATCAATTGAATTAAAGTAGGCATAAGTAATGTCCCTGATACACCGGTACATAAATGATGTTTTTATACCGAGAAAAATATACACCATATACTTACACCATCCAGTATATAGCATAGGTATGTGTGTACTTGTATTAGAAAAAAGAAAGAAAAAAATATTAAACATAATAAACTAAACTAAACCGTAGATTTATACTGTTTAAGTGTAATTCAAAATGTAAGAATATCATTTCTGTTTTATACCAGTAGAATCACATATAATTATATAACAAGCATAGACAGTCAAGGTGCGCCCAAAATTACCCCCACTACAAAATCAAATAAATAAAACCCAAATAAAACTGGCAGGAACACACGCACCCAATGACAGCTTGACTAATAATAATGGGTTACAAGCAGTCGTAAGATTGGGAGGCAAAGTTGATCTCTTGGGAAAGGCTTGAGACATGAGAGTGTATTTCTCTCTAGCTTTTAGGATCAAATTATGTTATGTGCTAATAATTTATGTGTTAGGGACGGTCTATATAGAACTTTGTTCTAATTTTAAATGAGACCCCTATTAGTAGTGGAAGTAATAGGATGGCCTTGAATCTGTGCAATTTAGGAATTCCAGTTATGAAAGTCATGGACATGCCTTCCAAAACAACATCAAGAATGGGGAGGGAATGTATTTGCTGTAGTAACCAGCAGGTGCCATTGTATTTTTGTTAAACAATACATGAACAATGAAAAGTAGTATCAACTAGAATCCTAGATCAGTAATCACATACATCTTGTTATTTCATTGTTTTTATAATGGGTAATATTATAACCTATGTGGCTTATATTATATCTCCAAGAAAATTCATATAATAAAACAATCAAACATGACAATGGATATGTATATTCTGCAATTCATAACACCCAATAATTGAAAACAGAAAATCAAGAAATGAAACTGTTATTTCCCACCCATAACAAACAATGTAGACTAGATAGTGTGACATTCAAATTCAGCATAAATCAGGTCTAGTTCTCTTACAAACCGAAATGCAACCCTTATGTTGATCCCTCAAGATCCTAATCTCACAACACTCCCTCAAATCCTCAAGACTCACATACTGTTGTTTCACCATCCTCAAAGAACCACCCCCTACATCATGAATCCATATATAAGGTTGACAAGTCTCATCATAGTAATACAACAAACTCTTCAATCCCACATCATTGCTTCCACTTCTCCCAGGCATATAAGCCTTATATATCCCTTTACTTTTCACTCTCTTCGAACACCCTGCCTTCAAAATATGAACCTTCTTCAGTATTGATCCTACCCTTATCTGCAATTCCACTGGCCTATCACTCATGTTCCAAATCCTTGTCCCTAATCCATATTGAGTTTGATCATAGCAGCTATCAAAGCAACCACCAAATGATACAAGACTCAAACCTCTCATTTTCTCCATTAGAGACTCTAACTGCTTCTTACTCATCTTAATGTTTCCACAAAGTGTTTGTGATGTACAAGCTTCATTTATATATCTATCTATATATAAGTCCCATCAAGTTATTCATGTCCTTGTGATAAAGATGAGTTCTTTGCTAACTTTTGTCAATATAATTGTTTAATAGTTATGCACCAATCATATCTTATCAGATACGTATGTAATATATATGGATTTTTGAATAATATTTATGATATAGTAGTATGACTAATATGGCTGTAATTTATATTATAAATACATGTGAATTTAATCTGGATCTTTAAAATATTATTTAAAAGTTCTCGTTAAGCAAATTCAGTTCATAGTTGTATCCAATTGAAGAGATAGAGATTCGAACAAGTGACATTTCACTTCTTTAGTTAAGTGAAATTTTCACTAGACAAAAAATATATCATTTAAATTCGAATCTTTATCATTTTTGATAAATTTTAATAAATTGCTCTTATATGATTTTTTTTAATCAAATTATAAATACACAATAAAGTTATTAAACTCATATTTTTAAAAATAATTTGAACTCTTTCTTGTGGGTCACTCTAGTAGTTGGTAAGTGCTTTCTGCTGTTATGATAGAACAAATTATGTAGAGACGTGCACTTCACAAGCCTCACTATAATAGAATAATTCTTTTCCCTTCCATTTAGGAAATGGTAGGGCCTAACGAACCCTCCAATTTCAACACAAGAAAACAGTGGAAAAGTTTATCTACACTGACAAAAATTAAAAAATTACTAAGAAAATGGATTTTCCTTTGATCCTTTAGGGTAGGAAAAGATGCTATTGGCACCCCATATAAAGGGATTCACATATTCATGAATCATGACATGATGAGGTAGCATATGATGTTGCTTCACCTTTTATTCAATTCAAGTTTCAAAATATATAACTTTCCTCTCTTATAAGAAATGATTTTCTTTTTCTTTGTTAAGCATTGAGCTCCTAAACTTTTTGGACTATAGCATAAAACACATTATAAAAAATTATAATTTTTTTTCTAATTAAATCAACTCAATTGGTAGTTGTACTAAACATCATATATACGAGTGCGAGTTTGAATTTATCATATACCATTTATTCATTTTTAAAGAGTAAAATTTTCACCATTAAATTATTAGACCGAAAAAAACAAATAGAGAACATAGATATTTATTGAGATTCGTAAATGTTGTGATATTATGCATCTTGTGATATGAAATTTTTTACTCTTCTAATAATTAAAACTGTTGTTTATGAGGTAGGACAAATCTTATTGGCATCCAACGACAACCCATCTCTTTTGTTGTGACCTACTCCCAACTTGAGACAATTACATAGTGGCCCAATTGCAGAATATTTTTGTAAACATGTTATTATTGTCTCACACTACCAACCTTTCCTTTCTTAAAATTTTGCATTTATCGTTTGTAATAAACATTTATCATTGATATTGTATGAAATTTATAAATATTTACACGTTTAGTATTGAAAATATGCAGTTCACTTGGACTAATTAACATAAAGGAATTTTTTCGTCTCAAAAAAATAAACATAGAGTAATTTTTATGACACTCATTTTCTCTGACACTAGAACACAAGCCAGAACAGAAGTTCCAAAATGGCTTAAGGTTGGAACTTAGGCACCTATGTAAAGTGAAAACTCAACTCTACAAGCGGGTTAGGTTCTTAATGTAATCTAGTACTTGGTTGGTTGGTGACAACACTATAATAATTCATTAAGGATCAACATGTGAATCAACAGTACCACATGTATGCAACTTGGTTGACGTCAAATTCACAAATCACTTTCAGACTCACTATTATTTATTATCACCCAAAATTATTGAACTGTGAAATTTGTTTTCCAACTCTTTAATAAAATTCCGAGTTGAAACATAAATCGGAGGAATAAAGAAGAAATATTTTAGTTTTGTTTATATATATATATATATATATATATATATATATATATATATATATATATATATATATATATATATATATATATATATATATATATATATATATATATATATATATATATATATATATATATATATATATATATATATATATATATATATATATATATATATATATATATTCAAACTCTTTA